TGAACAAGATATCAATTTATTTTATTGATCATTTAAGCTTAATGAAAATACTTATTAAGTATGATCAGTTATGGTTTATTAACACATCCACTTATCCTATTTCATCCAAAATTTTATTGTGTTATCTAAACTACCTGAGATAATTAGATCATCAGTATTATTTAATTATAAACAATATATAGAATTTGAATGTCCATTCAATATTTATTAACATTTCCATTAACTATTTCCTATCTCTTACCATATTATAATTGACTTATCTTGACTTCCAGATACAAAATTATTTGTATTTTTCATGAAATTCAAAGTACATACATCATATTTATGCTCACTTAGTCTTTATATTTAATCGAGTTTCCCTTATCTATGTTTAAATACTTTAATATTCTTATCACATCCAGCTACCACGATTGAGCAATCTTTATTAAAAGCAATAGCACAACACTATTCATTTTACTTAATTGTATTTTAATTCATGATTTAAAAGGTGAATTGGTTTAGATTTTAAGGTTTTATTCCAGATTGATTTTTTGATTATTATATAATCAAGTTTGGAGTTTATAAATTATCATCTTACTTTACATTTGTTTGATTCTTTATCTTTTTTAGTATTTCATTTACAGTTGATTTTATTTATTCGATTGATTCTTTCATTTATTTAAATAACTTTTTTTCGCAATCTTCCATTAAACATAAACCTTTTATTAATTAGTCAATCTGTGATACTCCTAATTCTGGGAATTATGAAACCGCTAAGCAATTATAAGGAAGGAACAAATTAATTAAACGATCAAGGGCAATTTTACCCTCTTAAACATTATTTTATATGATCTGAACCTAAAGGATTCTTTCTTTAATCCATTCAGATAACAGTTCGAAAGATGTTAACTTTTCAAGATGTTGATTATGGCGAGGCAAACAAAAATTACAATAGGGTCTTTAATTTGGGCATGTACTATCTATGCAAATCCCTAGTATTTATTGATTTCGATGATCAGCTTAAGTACATCGAATCTACATTTCCGATTTCTATTAAAATTATTAATTATATATTTAAGAATTATTTTTGATTAAATTACATTACTGAATAAACTAACACAATAGAAATTCAAAATTCATTTAAAAGAAATTTAATTGATACCAAAAGAACATGGATAGCCTGTAAACTCAAAAATTGGAAATTTAGATCATTAAAATAATAACCAAACCTTATGTATTTTATAAAATTTTAACATTTTGCTTTTAATCATCTGAAGTAAAGAATTTGATTTGATTTGAAGAATATTTTTGATATAGTTTTGATACTAATTTAAACTTATTTCAGCTTAGTTAACTAAATTACAATATATGTTATTGAAACCTTTTTTCTTAGAGATGAAAGAAAAATTATTAATTAAAATAATTTGACTAGTTAATTTCAATCATTTAGAATCGCTATTCTCATGCAAACAGATAAAAATAAATAGATAAACGGATAATTTTTCGTCATTAACTCTTTTCATTGATCGATATAATTGATTGTGAGAATTAAGTCTTAAATAACATTATAATTAAAGACAATAATTAGAACAATAATATCTGTTCAGAAAATAGAAAATTATCTCTTATTTTATCTTATTTTAGCAATAAATATCATTTTGAATAAAATTTCTATTTTCAAGGGATTTACAGATAAACCCTAAAATTAAAGAAAAGATATATATAGATA